AAAAAAAAAAAAAAAAAAAAAAAAAAAGAAGAAATTTCTCTTTGAATTTTTGAACCAATAATGGCCGTCAATAAAAACGTCAACGTTTCGGACGTACACGAGAGGAGGTATGACGTTTTCATATATTTATATTCCAGTTATATTCGTTTAAGTGACGTGGATATTAAAAAAAAAAACAAAAACAAAAAAAAGAGGTGGGAGAAACAAAAAAAAAAGAAAAAGAAAGAATTTCGAGTGGAAGGTTTGAAAGGATGGAAAAGAAAAAAAAAAGAAATATACAATATATACATTCTATATAGAAGCAATGAAACAAGAGGGATATATATATCGTACGTCAAATTAGTTACAGCACGCGGTTTTGGCATGAGAGTTGTTGGTGGAAAAACAGGAACTGACGGTAGAAGTTTCGCATATATCGTTTGGACCGTTCCCAATGGCCCAGCTGAAAAAGCCGGACTAACGCAAGGCGATAAGGTATGTATATGTATATGTATATATATATATGTGCATGTATATTTCACTGTAAAATTTACTCTCTTTTATATGTTAGTTACGTTTTTCCTATCTTTTCACGAAATTTAACTAACCAAGTTATACGCATATTTATCATATTGGTTTTCATATGTATAAATTAAATTATACAGTAGACCTTTTTACCTTATAAAGTAAATTCTAATTTCTACAACGCGAATTTCTCCAAAACTCATCAAAAATTATTTTACTATTACTATTTTCATATAACGCGATTCTTCCTACCAACACGACGTTATATGTATAAATAATAAGTAAAAATTTGTCGCATTTAATAATAACAATTTTATAGAGAGCATTGTGCTATCGTAGTTTTCATCTCTAACGATTTTTCTTACTTTTTCGCAATTGTTTTTTTACTTTATATTTTGATTTTTGACACACATTGTGTTATTTGAGAATAATTTCTTAGAGAAGAGAAAGAAGAATGTTATTAATATTTATATTTAAAACGATCAATATTTTTTTTACATTACAAGTTTTGCGTTAAAAGCAAATATCAATTATTTCAAATTCTTATAGTAGAACCGACTAGGAATAACTCTTGAGACTCACTGTTTTTATTCTCACGAAGTAATTATAAATTATCACGTGAAAAAATGGAAAAGTAAAAAAAATCTTCATATACGAGAAAACTTTTCATACACATACATATGTATACGTGATTTCCTATATAACGCGTAAAATATTAAATACATTTTATAAAATAGTTTACTGTATAAGTTATTAACTACCAACCAAAAGTTTGAAATCACTTTGCTGATTTCAGTACAAATCAAATATATTAATAAATTTAAAAATGATTCATTTCGTATATATCTAAAATTCGTTAGTTAAACATAACAGTAATCAAAAAGCACGTAAAATATACTCATGTACGTATACGCATATATGGTACAAGTATACCGACGTATACCGAACGAAAGGTAAATAATAATAACATTTCTCGATACAAATTAAACTCGGTAAAGAAAGTCGAAACTGTTCAGTCTCATTTAAACTCTTGTCGCGTAAACACGTATATATAATTTAACGTTACTAATTTTAATAAAAATTATTATAACATAGAAGTGTGTGTGTGTGTTTTAGCATATACGTAAATTACTCATCAATGTGAAGTAAATATTATACATATCATAACGTTATGTATATGTACATGAAAGTACTTACATTGTGTGAATATTATAATATACTATATATGAGATAATATAAGCTACCAATCACAAGTTTGTAAATCACTTTCTGATTTACGTTAAAATCGTGTTGTATACCGATACATTTTCACAAACTACTTATCATTGTTATATTAAATATTAACAAGTTTAATTACGTTTCAAGAAATGTCAGTATTTTCTCATGTCGATAATACACTTATATAATTTATGCACTTAAGTTAAAGGCAATACACTCGGAATAAACTTTCTTACTGGTACATCTTTAACAACTTCTACGAGAAGTATATATATTCAATTAGATACACTCGAAAAACTAATTATTAAGATTGTCAGAATATGTTAGACTGTCGTTAAAAATAAAATCGGTTGTTTTTGATAAAAGAACAATTTAAAGAAAATAATGCAAAATGTAGAAACACACGGTACTCGTAAAATTTGTTGACGAATTAATTCTACCATGGGGTTAATTTAAAGACACATTCGTGTTATCTCATAAATATTCTGTAAGGATTCCAATACTTTTGGTTGATAGTGTATGTATAACTCAAGTATAATACGTACCAACCCTTATATATCCATGAAATTTCCATCGAATCGTATAGAATTTTTTAATTAAAACATTTATCTGTCTTTAGGTATTTCTAAACTTATCATGACGTAGCATAACTGTTGATTTATAGCATAGAATGTAATACATTTTGTTTTATTTGTAGTAACAGAGAATAAGAGATTCGTACGAATCGATCAAATGACGAGATTTGTTTTTTTTTTGTCTTTTACGAAAGATTTATTGACGAAAATGTACAGTGTGGGTCGGAAATTTTTATAGTTTAATTTAAAAATCTATCTTTTGTTTCTCGAGATGTTTTTGCAGATTATAAAATTATATGGAGATGTTAAAAATTTGTTCAATTATCGATTAGATATTAATTGTTAGAAAAAAATCTTGTAGAAAATTAATCGATTTCTTAAAATTACCCAGAAATTTTTGATCTACCTTGTACATTCGTGTAAAAAAAAAAAAAAGTACTCGTTGTTGTAGATGTTTTCTTCTTTTACTTCTGATTAATTTCAAGAGAATGTTATTATTAAAAAAATCAAATTTGTTGTAGCGATAAAAATATAAGAATTAAGTTTTGTGAATAGATTGTTGATTTTGTTTTTTTTCATAATAAAAATAAGTAAATTTTTGTAATAATTATTGTATTAATGTATTGAACATTAATTTTTGTGTTTAGGTTTTAGAATGGTCAGGTGTTTCTTTGATCAACAAAAATTTCGAGGAAGTATCACAAATCATTGACCAAACCGAGGATGTCGCTGAGCTTCTCGTTGAACATTCAAGTGACAAGTGAGTACTTAAAAATAATTAATATTAATGTTTATATATATATATACATATATAGATATGTATGTGTGTCTAAGAGAAGACAGAAAGAATTAATATTAATTAAAAACAAAGATAATAAAAAAATATTATTATTATTATTATTATTTTCAATGTGATCACAGTTTAAGTGATTTATTGGACGATGCTGGAATGATATCGTCCGGAAAATCATCCGGCATGAACCTTCTAATGGGTAAGTCGAGAATACAAAATAATAAATAAATTAAAATACACGCATATAAATAAATTTTGTTTGAAAATCCACGAACTGTCACGTTAACACGTAAATAAATCTTTGCAAATGCCACAGATACATAATTAAAAGTAACCCCAAAAAGTAAACTATTGCTGTTGCTATGCAGTTTTGTTTTTAAACAAAATAAATTAACAAATTGCAATAAAATAAACAATTGGGATATAGACAAAAAATAATCAAATTAGGACTTAGAATGTATGTTAGATAAAATAAAAAAAAAAAATATTCACGATCCAAGTATTATAAGTATTTTTGTTTTTCTCTCGAATTGTTTTTATTTACATTACGTTATAACAAAACGATATTGCAATATTTTTGTTTTTCAGAAACCGAAACGGACAAAACACCGTCCTCGCCGACGCGCAGGAAATTGCCAAAAACGCCGGTATAACGAGTTATTAAATTAACATCTACACGTGACCGTCTCTCTCTCTCTCTCTCTCTTTTTCTCTTTCTCTTACTCCCACACGATGTACACTCATACGTAAACAATTACAGTACCAATAGCAACTACACAGTAAACAAAATAAATAAATAATAATAATAATATATTACACGCGCGAGCTCGTTTTCGCGACATAAATTTATACATAAATTAAACGATATTATATGCATCATAAATATATTTGTAAGAAAAATTACACACTTACGTAACAAATCAATAATTAAAAAACAAATACGAACGAAAAGAAACAAATAAAATAACCAAAAAAAAAAATAACCAAAAACAAATGACAGTGAAGAAAAAAAATAACGAGACACGAAGAGAAAATAAGAAGGAACGAAAAGGAAGGGAAGGAAAAAATATTTTAAAAAGTTAAAAAAATGTAAAAAAAAAAAAAAAAAAGAAATAAAACTGCAGCGAACGCGAGACAAGGAAGACATTTAAAGACAAATTTACAATTCGATTATATTTCTATGTATGTATAAGTGTACAAGTACATACACACGAACTTATATAAATATTATACATACCAACAAACACACATATATGAATATAAAATATATATATAAAAAAAAATGTATGGAAAAATAAGTCCATATATTAATACACCGATAAAACATTGTATGTACTTCTAACACACCTAAGCGATTTCACACATGAGACCATACTATATATTACTTACACTTATACAATATACTCTAAACGCGTTATATAATTATAATAATGATGCGTCCCCCCTGCATGTATATGCCGAAAATGTATCTTTATATGTGCTCTCTCGATCGAACCGGCAAAACGTGCATTGTCTTATCCCAATGTTATCTTTTATCGTTTATATATTGAATCAGGGATAAAAAAAAAGTTTCTTTGTATTTTAATGAAAAAATGATAAACATTTCTTTTCTTTTTCGTTCATATTGTTTTTCGCAAATGATTTAAAACAACTGTTTCGTGCTTGAATCTTTCTGAATTTTTGTGTTTCCATCATGAAATCATCGACTTTTTCCACTGGATTTGTCAGCTAGATCAAAATGTATCTTCGACATCGAAATTTTCCAGATTGAAAACCCTTGAATCAATTTTGTGCAACGCTTATATCGATACTGCATTATATTCACAAACGGTAGACTCTTTTTTTTTTTTTTAAATCAAATTTCCAAACGGATATCGAATTTCTTCTATATTTTTATTCGTTTTTAAAACGCAATAACTTTCGGTCGCTGCATGAATTAATGTCATAACTATTTTTTATTAATCTTCTATAAATAGAGTTTTGTTCATGATTATGTTAACAAATTTATTTAACTTGGATTCAACAAATGTACAATGAATTATCGTATATTTTCAAAGATACTTAATTTATACCCATATGTATTTTCAAATTAGAATTGTTATAATCGATATTAAAAATTTTTTATTATTTTTATTAAATCTTTGATTTTTATTGTTTATAAAATAAATATTATGAAACATTATAATATATATGCGTAAAATTAGATGAAAGGATAATATTAATTCATTATTGATACATAACTTCAAAATTACGCGAATTTATAAAAGATTAATTAGTCTATTATACGTAGGCTTTCAAACAATTTCAAGTATTGAAAGATTCAATTAATATAAGTAGAGTTATGCGATCCTAAAGCTATTAATATCTATCAGTGAAAAAATACGAAGAAACTTTTTACACAATCCAATATTTTTTACGTGTATCATGAATTTGTTTTTCATTAAATTTTTGTTCATCTTTCTTCTATTTGTTTTTTTTGTTTTTTTTTTTTTTTATTTATTGATTTATTTACATATAATTTTATGAAATGATCGAATAATGATTTTTAAAACGCGTTGATTTCGTATTAAAATCGTCTTTAAAGTGAAACAAGTGTCGTAACGATCGATATCCTGGAAAATTCAACACGAAATTCCGACTCGATGGAGCTGACCTCGTTTAAGTCTACTTCAACGAAGAAGACCTTCTTACGAATAATTTTCACGTACATGTGTGCACGATTTATGTATATGTAAAGAGTTTAACATTTTAACCAACATTGAAATATAATACCGAGTATTCAAAAACTAGATCTTAATGAAATATCTAATTATTTTTAATAATAATAATAATTAACGTTTAATAAAATCATTATATTATTAATATTATTATTATTATTATTTTAATCGTAGTAAATGTATCGTTCATTTTTAAATAATCTATGGTTCGTAACGATGACGTTAAAATGTGACACCCTATGCAATGAAACTCAAAAAAAAAAATCTTTGTTTTATCATTTTTACGTTTTCATTGTTGTTGTTGTTGTTGTTTCGTTTTAAGTGTACAAATTATGAACAATCGTGACGTGCGATAATTAAATCAATTATTAATCCACACGTAATATTTCTATAATATTATAACGACGACAATCTATACAAATTTATAATCAGCAGAGAAATTGTTGGTCGAGATAATAAATATAAATGAAGAAATAAATCACAAAATTTGCTTTTATGCGCGCGCATTTCAACTGCGTATTGCAAAAAAAGGGTACGCGTCTGAAAGAAATTATTTTCGGAATAAACGACGAATAAAAGAAAATAGAAACGATATAAAAATTCGTTGGGAAGAGAAAAATTTCAAGTTAAGTGTCCATTGAACTTGTCGTGCGAAGAAAAATGTGTGTTGTTTTTTTCTCCTGAAAAAAAGAAAATAAAAAAGAAAAAGTAAAAGAATAGAAAAAGAAAAAAAAGGAATAAGGAAAAAGAAAAATCCGTAAGAAATTTTTCACTCGACCCATTTTTCTGACTGAAGAAAGAGAGAAGCTTTCGTACAATCAACCGTAGAGATCAGTCGTGCGTTGTCTCTGTCTCTCCGTATCATTTTTTTCTCAATTCTTCTTGCCCCCCCCCCTTCCTGCCCCACTGTCCTTCCACCCTCTCACTTTCCTTTTTTCATTTCTTCTTGTCCGTCTTGAAAATACCCTCGGCTAACTTCAATGTTTTCTTTTATTTTTTTTTACAAAAATTGAGCAGAAGAGTCGCGCACGACGAGTTTTATAGAATAAACAATTTTCAGCTTCAAGTGCGTAAAAGTATGTGCGTGTATGTGTATTTTA